CAACAAGGCCCCCGGCTCAATCCCCAGTTCCACACACACAGCAGCACAGCCTACGTCTGATGTCAGCCTGAAGAGTGGGATAAAAGATGTTGCTTCCCAGCTCTTGGTTCAGTCCCATACAGCAGTGTGGGCTTTTCTTCTTATTGTTGTACTGAGAATATTTCTTTTTCTTTCTTTCTTTTTTTAGACACGGTCTTGTTATATAGTTTATATCAGGCTAGCCTTGAAGTTATTCTGTAGTCCAGGCTAGCCTCAAACTTGTGGTGATCTTCCTGCCTCAGCCACCTGAGTGCTAGGATAACAGGAATGCATCACCATACCTGGCCCTAACTTTATTTGTATTTTATTTGTTTATTTATTTATTTTTGTCTTTTTCATTTTTATCGGTACCGGGGATTGAACTCATGACCGCCTGCTTGAAAGGCAGGTACTTATGCCGCTGCGCTAAATCCCCAGCCCCCTTTATTTTTATTTTTTATTTTATTGTTTTATTTTGTTTTGTTTCTTTTGAGACAGGGTCCCACTGTATAGTTCAGGCTGGCCTCAAACTTATGGTGATTCTCCTGCCTCTGTCTCCCAAATGCTGGGATTACAGGCGTGCACCATGACATACTGGCTCAGGCCTAATTCTAATAAATGCAAAAGCTCACTAGCTTTTGTGCTTGTTTTGTTCAATTTTTTATTCAGGACAAGAAGAATCTAGAAAGGCTCTGTAGAAGGAGTTCCCAGCACCCTAGAAGCTAGTAACATAAAGACTGTGGTTCAATCCCCAGTCCTGGAAAAGAGAAAAAAAATCAGTCTGGAGAGGTCAGCTAAGACTGGATCAGAGTGCACTAAAGTACCGCCTGCTCTGGTTCTCCCCTGCATGACGTCATAGGCATGGAGTCACAGACAGATGTGCCCTGCTGAGAGCAAAGAGGCTCCAGGCCAGGTGACCGCAGCTCCAGACACACATCAGATCCGGAGGATCACACTGAAGAGACCAAGCAGGGGACACAGGTAAGGGCGAAGAAAGGACTCTAGTCTCTGTTACAAAATTTAAAAATAACTCTTTTATTTTAGCGAGAATAAAAAGAAAATAATAAAAAATGTTAAAAATAAAATAAAAATAATAAATAATAAAGTGAAAAGATGATAAGAAATTAATAATGGTTGTTATATTGGTATTGTTATTTTCTTTTCTTTCTTTTTTTTTTTTATCGGTACTAGGAATCAAACTCACGACCACATACTTGCAAGGCAGGCGCTTATGCCGCTGAACTAAATCCCCAGCCCCTGTATTGTTATTTTCAAAATAGTTGTTCAGATTATCAGATATAGGCATGCAAAATTAACCAACAAATATAACCACTGTTTCTTTCAATAAACAATAGAATTAGTAGTACACTTCACTTAGCTATCACGTATATTTTTCCCTTTCTTCTTCTCTCCTTTCCCCCACCCCAGTTGCTCTTTCCTTTTGAGCAGTTTCTTTCCCTTTCACAATATCTATTTGGATCTTATTTACTCTTTTAGTTTCCTACACTAGGGAAACAAATGATGTTTATACATGCAAGTTTGATTTATTTCATTTATGAGTATGGTTTCTAATTGCATCTATTTAATCTATAAAAGTCTCAAGTTTATCTTTCTCTATAGCTGAGTAGTTCTCCATTGCATAAAAATGCCACATCTTTGCTATCCATTCCTAGGTGGATGGGCATTTGAGTTGTTGCTAGGATTTAGCTATTACAAATTGTGCTGCTATAAACATAGGTGCACATGTATCACTGTGGTATGATGTTTTAAATTCTTCTGGAAAAATATCCAGAAGAATAGCTGGGTCAAATGGGACCTCGAATGCTAGTTTTTTGAGGACTCTCCACACTGATTTCCACAGTGGTTGCACCAATGTATACTCTCACCAACAATGAGGAAGGACTCCTTTTTCCCCACAGATCTAACAACACTTGTTATTGGGTGATTTTTTGACGGTAGCCATTCTTTCTGGTATGAGATAAGTCTCAGAGTTGTTTTAATTTGCATGTCTGGAATGACCTATGGTGTTGAACATTTTTTCATGTATTTGTTTGTCATCTGTATTTTTTCATCTGAGAAGTGTGTATTCATCTCAGATGCCCATTTTTGGGTTGAGTCTTTGAATTTGGGGAACCAGATTTTTTAAAAACTTCCTTATATGTTCTAGATAGAAATCCTTTGTCTGAGGGACAGTTGGCTAAAATGTTTTTTCCAATACATGAGTTTTCTTTTCACTCTATTGGTGATTTCTTTTGAGTGCAAAAACTTTTTAATAAGATGAGATCCCAGTTGTTGATTCTTTGAAGTATTTTCCATGCAGTTTGGTTTTTGTTCGTGAACACTCTGCCTACACCTATGTCTTCAAGATGTCTGCCTATTTTCTCTTCCAGTAGATTTAGTATTTCTGAAGTTTTTTTTTTGTTTTTTGTTTTTTGTTTTTTTGGTATGGGGAATTGAACTCACAACCTCATGCTTACCAGGCAGGTGCTTAGGCCACTGAGCCAAATCCCTGGCCCCTAGATTTAGTATTTCTGTTTTAATATTTAGATCTTTGATCCACTTGATTTTAATTAATTCATGGTGATAGACACAGATTTGGTTTTACTCTTTGGCATGTGGAAAGCCAGTTTTTGCAGCACCATTTATTAAAGAGGCTCTCTTTTGCCCAGTGAATGTATTTGATCCTTTTGTCAAAGATAAGGTAGTTGAGTGTGTGTGGGGTTGCGTGTTCATCTTCTATTCTGTTCCGCTGATCCTCAGGTCTGTTTTTGTGCCAGAACCATGCTGATTTTATTACAGTAGATTTGTGATATAATTTCAAGTGATTGTGATGCCCCCTGACTTGCCTTTGCTACATAGGATTGCCTTTGTTATTCTAGGTCTCTTCTGGTTCCAGATGAATTTCAGGAATGTTTTCTCTAGATCTGTGAGGTATGCTAATACTAATGGTATTTTAATTGGTATTACATTAAATCTGTATAACAATTTTGGGAATATGACCATTTTCACAATGTCCATTCTTCCTACCCATGAGCAAGGAATATCCTTTCATTTTCTGAAATACTCTTCAATTTTTTTTTTCAGAGCCCTGTAATTTTCTTTTCTTTTTTTTTTTTTTTTTTTTTTTTTTTTTTTTTTGGTACTGGGGATCAAACTCATGACCTTGCGCTTGCCAGGAAAGCACTTATACCATTGAGCTAAATCCCCAGCCCCTGTAATTTTTTTGTCTTTTTCCTTTTTATCGGTACCGGGGATCGAACTCATGACTGCCTGCTTTACAAGGCAGGCGCTTATGCCGCTGAGCTAAATCCCCAGCCCCTAGCCCCTGTAATTTTCAATGTATAAATACTTTCCTTCCTTTGTTAGTTTGATTCCTAAGTATTTCCTCTTTTTGGATGCTATTGTAAAGGGTATGTGCTTTCCCTCATTTTTCTCAGTGAGTTTGTTGTTTGTGTACAGGAATGCTATTGATTTTTGAGTGCTGATTTTCAGTTACATACTGAATTTGGTTATTAAATCTTTACCACTTTCTGTTATTGTTGTTGCTGTTACTGGAGATTAGTCCTAATCCTTTTATTTTTTACTTTGTGACAAGGTACTGCTTAATCTCTAAATTGCCTGGGTTGGGCTCCAATTTGAGATCTTCCTGCCTCAGCCTCCCAGAGTGCTGGGATTATAGAATATGTACTTTCTTAATTGAAACATTTAAAAAGTACATGTATTAGTCTACTGAATCCCAGGCCAAAGCAAGTAGAATACACCAGCAAGACTGCAGATGAAATCTGACAGCCCTGGAGCCTCACTAGCCCTGTGCAAAGGAACTTCCCGGAGCAGGGAGGAGGCTTAGGTGTGAGACACTCTGAGGCCAGCCCGGCACTGGGCCAGGCGTGGGACAACGCCCAAGTGCCCAAATGCCTCCCCTGGGCTGGGAGTGTCTGCTCATTCCAGAGATGGCAGGAGGAACAAGGTGATCATCCTGTCACCGCAGAGGTGCCTGACCAGCCTTGTTATGGGAAGAACATTTTCCATGCCCATTAGGTGCCTTTTCAAAAATTTCCTTACTGTTATTATTTGTAGTTCTGGGGATTGCACTCTAGGACTCTGGCATACCAGCCAAATGCTCTGCCAAACCCTGAGCACTTTGGTGCTTTTATACCCCTCCATTTGTTTGTTTTTGAGGCAGAGTCTCACTATATGCAGGCTGGCCTTGATCTCACAGAGATCCTCCAACCTCAGCCTCCTGAGTACTGGGATTACAGGATTGTGCCCCACACCTAGCACTATATCTTTCTTTTGAACTCAGGACTTCATTTAACCCAAGAGGGCCCAGTGCAAAATACAGTTTACTTAGTTAGTTCATGAGTGAGGAAATTGTTACCAGGTAGTGTCTTCTAAAAATGGCTCATCAGTTAAACATTACCAGGTTTGGGGCTGCCTGTTTCTCCTTCTGGAGTTGCAGGTTTTCCTCATCTCGAACACAGAAGTAAATGAATGAGCAAAAAGCAGTGACGAAGTGTATTTGAACAAGTAAAAGTGAAGGCTGACGGAGAAAACTGGCTCTGCAGAGTGAGTTTGGTCCCAGTAAAAGAGGAAAAAGTCAGATAAAAGTACCCTGAAGGAAACAGGACGGGATATCATGAGGAAAGCAAAATAACAAACTCTTCTCGGTGCCTGCATCCTTTAAACTGTCCAAATCTGGAGGAAACCAGCGAGAATTCCCACATCCGGGTCCCGAGAAGTGGAGTTAGGATCCTGTATGTCAGGCTGACAAACTGCACGAGTTCTCTGGAGAAGAGAACTGTACTTGTTCAACTCGGGAACTGTGTTTGTTCCAGGATCTTTTACCTTAACAGGTCACGCCTACTTTCCCCAGCCAGTTTTGCCACACCCTCATCACCTGTTTTACAGCTAGCTAGGGATAAAGCCCAAGATAAGAGTTGAGTAACCAATCATGTTGATAAGAATTAAGATAAAAATGAACAGTGCTGCGTGACAGGAGAGAAGGTTAGCACTCTCGGACAGGGATGGAAGGGGCCCGTGGGCCTAACATGCCTGCAGTTAACATATTGCCAGCTACTTCACGGCATCTAACCACTGCTTTCTGGGTCTGGGATTTAGTTTAGTGACATAAGCGCACGCCCGGCAAGTGTGAGGTTGTGAGTTCAATCCTTGGTACAAAACCAAAATACAAACAACAACAACAAAAAAAAAAAAAAAACAAGGCACCCTGGCATACACCTGTAATCCCAGGACTTGGGAGGCTGAGACAGGAGGACTGATGTGAGTTTGAGACCAGCCTGGGCTGCAAAGTGAGTTCAAGGCCAGCCTGAACTGCATAGTGAGACCCCGTCTCAAAAAGACAAAAAAAAAAAAAAAAATTTCCCTCTTGGTGAAACCAGGAGCCTTTTCTTTTCTCTTATTTCCAGTCAGAAACTCTCCTACTTCCTCCTTCTGGCTTGAGACTTCATTCTTCAATTTTGGGTGCTCGGTTGGTATAATTAACTATTTCATGAGGCCACAGTTTCCCTGCCAGCTTATCCAGGAAGAAGTAAACCACCGAAGTGGGGCTTCTGCTGTAACTGCTTAATTCAAAGAAGTTATTTTGCAAGCTGAACGCCGACATTTTGTTTGAAACAGAGTTTAAACCTAAATGCCCATCAACTGAGGAATGGATAAAAAAAAGATGTGGTACTTTTGTACAATGAGTACTACTCAGCTATAAAGAATGATCATATTGAGATATTTATAAATAAATGGATGCAACTTGAGACTATACTCATAAGCAAAATAAGTTAGTTCACATGTGTAACATCCTACTGTCTCACTAGTGTGAGAAGCTGAAACAATATATATATATATATATATATATATATGCAACACACAATATATATACCAGACAACAGTGTAAGAGGTCTGTGGCTTTGAGTGCAGAGTGGCCGGGTGCTGTGGTCCCTGAGGGCCGACTCCTGCTGCCCGGTCTGGCCTCCCTCCAGCCGGATGTTTCATCTACTTCCCGCAAGGGAAACTAAAAGCTACCAGGCGCCTACTGTATGAGTCACAGGTCACTCCTACCACATTTTATTACAGCAAACCACTCTAAGGACGGCTCGGCCGTTGGTAGAAATGAATTCCTTTTTTTTGAGGCAGGTCTCTCTGTGCAGGTCAGGTTGGCCTCAAACTCACTGAGATCCTCCAGTCTCAGCCTCCTGAGTGCTGGGGTTGCAGCGTGTGCACCCTCACACCGGGCTGAGAGATGGATTTCAGCCTTTGGCACCCTCACACCGGGCTGAGAGATGGATTTCAGCCTCTGGACAGAGGGAGTGGCTCCCTTTTCCCCAGAATGACTCACAGAGGACACAGGTGACCGCAGGGGACTCAGTGCCCACTGGGGAGACACTTGTGTGATGGCAGCTGGGTGGCTTCTCAGACTCCTGACCAAGTAGAGCACAGGGCACTGGGCGAAGGAGGGGCCGGGACCAGACTTCTGCAGGCCCCATGGGAGCCCTGGCCAGGCGCCTCTAGAGGAGATAAAATCACAGGAAACTCAGGGCAAGCAGAGAGGCCAGCGAGGACTCTGGTGCCTACAGTCCTGAACCCTGTTCATATCAGGGACACTGTGATGCATGCAGGACAAAAACTTTCATTCCTCCCTTAGAGACAGGGACCTGAGGGACCAGGTGCTGAGGCTATCGGGGCTGGTGCAAGAGCCAGGCTCCTCCAAACTCCCTGTTAGGTCTTTGTCCCATGCCTGGGCCTGTCCTTGACCTGCCTGTCTCCTTGCGGGGCTGTGAAGTCAGCCCCTTGGGAACCCGATGTCTTTCTTCTGCATCAAATGCCCCACGTGGCAGGCTTGGAATGAGACCTGGCGCCAGTCTAGCAGAGGAATTCCCAGGATTCTCTTGTCTCAGCTTCTTAAATTCTGGGATCACAGGTGTGTGCCACCATACCTGGCTGTTTTATATCGTTCCCATATATAGTTTGAACATCCCTAATCTGAAAATCCAAAACTGTTTTTTGAGTGTGGGCTTCAGCATTTGGAATATTTGGGATTTTCAGATTTTTAGATTAGCTAGTAACATCTATGCCAATATTACAAAATCTGAAAATCTTTAAAATCTGAAATCCTTATTTCTGGCCCCAAACATGTTGGATAAAAGTTATTCAAGCTATACTAACTCATCAATCTTGTGGTTCCCCGGTTTTTTTTTTTTTTTTAATCGGTACTGGGGATCGAACTCATGACTGCACACTTGCAAGGCAGGCACTTATGCCACTGAGCTAAATCCCAGCCCCTAACTCATCAATCTTAATAATGACCCTAAAAAGGTAAGTTTATCACCACCTCAGAATGGAGAGACAAACTGGGCAGGGTGGCACATGCCCATCCAGCTTGGAAGGCTGAGGAGGAGGATTACAAGTTCCAGTGAGCATGAGGCTTGGTGAGAGTCTTTTTCAAAGTAAAAAATAAAAAGGGCTGAGAATTAAGCTCAGTGTGAAAGCCTTGGGTTCAATCCCGAGTACGGGAGGAGAAAAAAAAAAGGAACAGAGAAGTTAAATAACTCTCCAAGGTCACACAGCTCGTAAGTAGAAGGAACCAAAATCTGAATATCTGAATCAGGCACCTGGCTTCAGAGTCCAGGTTCTTAGATACCAGGAATCAAACTCAGGACCTTGTGGCTGCAAGGTAGGTGCTGTGTCACTGAGCTACACCCCTTGCCCCAGTTAAGAGCCCAGGTTCTAACAATGCTATGCTGTTTCCCAGATACTAAAAGCACTACACTACAGCAAGGGAGGAAACTGAGGCAGAACGGTGACTCGCCTGAGCCACCACACTGTGCAACCACACAGTCCCATTACATTGTGCCTGGGGACAGGAGCCAGGCTGCCCTGGAGCGGAAGCGGAGCACAGCAGCAACCGCTCCCACTCTGAAGGGTGGGTGTGCCAGCAGGAAGAACTACAGGGCCAGAGGGCTGGGTCCTGGGTGAGAAGCCAAAGGCACTAAAAGTTAAAAAAAAATTTTTTTTTTGAGACAGGTCCCAGGCTGGCCTCGAAGTCCTGGGAATCAGCCTGGCTCAGCCTTCTGAGTGCTGGGGTTACAGAACTGAACCACCAGGCCCAGTGGTACAAATTTTGAATCCAGGGCTGGGGATCTAGCTCAGTGGCTTAAGTGCCTGCCTGGCAAACATGAGGTCATGAGTTCAATTCCTGACATCATTAAAATTTTTTTAAAATCTAGTCCAGGGGCTGGGGATTTAGCTCAGCGGCATAAACGCCTGCCTTACAAGCCGGCAGTCGTGAGCTCGATCCCCGGTACTGATAAAAAGGAAAAAGACCAAATAAATAAATAAATAAATACAAAATAAAAAAATAAAATCTAGTCCAAAATATGCACCCCACCACAGCCAGGTAAATGAAAACATTTTAGACATGCTGAAGTGTTCCTTGAGTAGGGAATGGCTTGTGTTTCTTTTCTTTTCTTTTTTTCTTTGTTTTCTTTTTCTTTTGTTTTTTGAGACAGGTTCTCGCTATGTAGCCTCCAATTGGCAGCGATCCTCCTGCCTCAGCCTCCCCAGTGCGGGGATTACAGATATGTACCACCATGCCCGGCTAGCAATAGCTACCTTTAAACACAGACACAGAGAAGGGCAAAGCCGTGTAAGCAGGATCTTAGTGAGCGGCCCGCAAGCCGGTCCCCAGGAACAGGGGCTGGTGCAGGTGGCTGGGAGTTCACACACCCTATCCAGAATGCTCCGGTTGGACAGGGAGAGGCGCACACACACAAGTACTGTCGTCTCACCCAGAGCTGGCAGGCAGAAGGGAACTTGCCCCACCCCCACCTGGTTAGGTCAGAAGCCCAGTTCAACTCTTTCCCTTCCAATCCCAGCTACTGAGTGAGGGGGTGCAGCTCTCCCCAGGTTCTGGAACTTACACGTTGATTTTGGTTCACAGTACAGGGGCGGGCACCAGGCAGGGCGGCTCTGCGCAGCGAACCTGCGCACCTCTTGGTGCTCTGGAAGCACAGGGTAAAGGGAAGAGCTGAGGAAACAGAGCCTCCAGGGCCAACCCACCAGGACTTGCCTCCTCCCATCAGACCTGAGGACATCCTCCTGCCTCAGCCTCCTGACAGCAGCTTAGCCACAAGCCCCCATAATGCAGTCACTTTCCAAACACAGGACACTTAGGAGGTCACTTTAGACCCAACTATCACAGGAGTCTGCGCCCATGCTCTGCCCAGAGAGACAAACATCTCCTCAAGGCGGGGCCTCTCCCCTCTCAGGCCCAAAGACCTTATCTCCATTTCACAGGTTTTCCCCTAAGTGGTCTCTGCTGTCTTGGCTGGACTCAGAATGCTATCGAGCTGCTCTGTGGACTGGCTGTCACCCGCTGCTGTACACCATGGCAGAATAGGGCCACTGCCTCTCATTCTGACCACCAGAGAAACAGTTTCACAGTGGAATAGGACAACATCGTTTCTGAGCCATTTGTGGATGCCCACGCCTGCACTCCCAGTTCAGGGAGGCTGAGGCAGGAGGCTGTTGGGAGCTCGAGGCCAGCCTGCCTACAAAGAGAGTTCCAGGCCAGCCTGAACTGCAGAGCAAAACCCTGTTTCAGAAAGAGAAAACAACAACCACACAAACCATTCCCACCCACAGATGTTGTCTACTACTCTGTAAAAATCTGAAAACACCTATGAAAGAACTCTCTGCAATTAATACACGAGTCTGGCAATGTCGTGGAATAAAATCAATCGACTGTGCATGTTTGTTTTGAGACAGGGTCTTGCTGTGTATTCCAAGCTGGCCTCCAACTCAAAACAACCCTTCTGCCTCAGCCTCCTGAGTGCTGGATTCAGGAGGCCTGTGTCACTACCCCCGGCCAACCATATTTCTAAGCATTAAAATTGTACAGTTAGAAGCCAATTTTAAAAAGTAGAATGGGGAATAAAAAAGCTGAGCTGGTCCCTTGTAGTATTTCCTAGTGTAGAGCTTTGCAATTTCAGAGTACTTTGTAACCACCCCAGGAGGAAGGAAAGCCAGAAACTTTGGCAATATGCGCATGCTCAGTCCACACTCCTGGGAACTGGCCTCAGCTGGGGCCTGAG